TCAAAATGGGTATGTGATTTCAACATAAAGGGTGATTTCATAAGTGAGTTAGGGGAGGATAGAAGAAATTATCTTTCAGATCTATGTTTAGGGAAATATTTCATGACCAAAGAAGAGACAGATTATTTTAAGAGAAATAAAATTAATGATTTTGATTACACAAAATTGAATAAAAAATTGTTTCATAAACAAACTAATTTAGGTAAAATTAAAAGGATAACAGGAAAGTGATAAAAAGAAATGCAAGTTTCTCTGATTAAGGTCTCATTTCTCAAACACATTCCACAGTTGATAAATAGTTAAAGGATATAAATAGGCAGTTTTTAAAGGGTAAAATTAAAACTTTCAATACTCACATAAAACATTCTTCAAGATCACTAATAATTAAAAAAATACAAATTAAGACAACTCTGTGGTACTGCTTCACACTCAACAGATTGGATAAAATGGCAGAAAAGGAAAATGACAAATTCTAGAGAGTTGGGAAAATGCTAGGTATTACAGTAGATAGAATGCTGGACCTGCAGTCAGAAAGACTCATCTTCCTGAGTTCAAATCCAGACTCATACAATTATTAGCTATATCCCTGGGCAAGTCACTTAACCCTATTTGTGTCAGTTTCCTCATTTTAAAATGAGCTTGAACATGAAATTACAAACCCCTCCAATATCTTTGCCAAGAAAATCCCAAATGGCATCATGAAGAGCTGGAAATGATTGCAATGACTGAATAACAATAGTAACAATGCACTGGTGGTAGAGCTGCTAAATAGTCCAGCCATTTTGGGGAAGAATTTGGCACTCAACCTGAAGAGATATAAAACAGCATGCTTTTTGAGCTAGCAAGACCACTACAAGGGTAATACTCTAAGCAGACAAAAGTAAAAAAAAAAAAAAAGAAAAGAAAAAGAAAAAGACATCTGTTAAAAATATTTGTAGCAAATCTTTTTGTGGTGGGAAAGAATTGGATTTAAGGGAATGCCCATTAATTGGGAAATGGATGAGCAAATTGTGATATGTAGTGGTGATGGAAAATTATTTTTTAAGAAATGATGAAAGGGATGGTTTCAGTCATATACTGAGAAGACGTCTATGAACTGATGCAAAGTGAGGTGAGAAGAACTAGAAGAACAATCTACATAGTAACAGCAATATTCTAAAGATAAGCAACTATGAAAGACTCAGTAATGTGATCAATACAATTATCCACCTCAACTCCAAAGGCCTAATGATGTTAAATGACAACCACTTCTAGAAGGAGAACTGATGAATTCAAAGTGCAAACTGAAGTTTATTTTTCCATTTTTTGCCTTTTTTCAGAACATGGTTAATGTTGAAACATATTTCGCATGACTGTACATGTATAATGGGTTTTATATTTTTTTTCCTTCTTGACAAGTGCAGGAGAAGTCAATAGAAGGATAGAATTTGAAACTTAAAATAAAATGTAAAAATTGAAAACAAAAATCAAGTAATTCTAAGGATTTACATCTCATCCCCAGAATAACAAAATGAAAAAATCTAAGAATAGTCAATTTTTCAATGGCTGTGCAATGACAGGCACAGTAATGCCCTCTTTGTAGACCTGAAGACTTGTCACAAACTTTCAAGGAAACAATTTTTTAGTGATGTAACTGTAGATGCTAATATTAACAAACAAATGATACTAATATTAATACCATACCCCATATAAACCCAAATATTTGTAAAAGCATGTTTTGTGATAACAAAGAACTGGAAAAAATGACATCCATTTATTAGAGAATGCCTCAATGAATTGTCGTATCTAAATATTATGTAATATTACTATACTGTAAAAAGCAATGGATATTATAAATAGATAGGCATAAAAAGACTTATAGGAAGTGATACAAAGTAGAGTAAACAGTGCAAGAAAAGTGTGTGTGTGTGTGTTGTGTGTGTGTGTGTGTGTGTGTGTAAAATTCCAACAATATATTTGGAAAGAACAAGGAGAAAAAGTCCAAATATTATGAGATATTGTAAAATTACAAGGAATAAACTTGATCCCAGAGATATTGTATAATATCTATGAGACCAAGATTATTCTTTAAAATTTTGCAATATGTACATGTATATAAACATATAAACACATAATTACATATGATATATGCATATAAAATACAATATATAGTTTTATATTATATTATATTATATTATATTATATTATATTATATTATATTATATTATATTATATTATATTATATTATATTATATTATATTATATTATATTATATTATATTATGTTATGTTATGTTATGTTATATTATATTATATTATATTATATTATATTATATTATATTATATTATATTATATTATATTATATTATATTATGTATATTATATTATATTATATTATCACTGTAGACATATTGAGTGATGACATAGAAATGATTTTCTTAAGAGCAATAACTAATTCCAACCTATTTTTTTTTTAATTTCCAAGCTATTTTTTCTCTTTATTTGAATTTGTATATTCATACCAAAGGTAAGAAATTTGGACTGGAATGCTAATATCCAGAGTATTTCCAGTTTTACTCAAATATTTAGTATGAATATAATTTGTCCAGTTTTTCTTTCTTTTAAGATCAAAAGTATGGAAAATTCCAAGTCATACCTTCTTTCCCTTTAGTGAGTTATGTATAATGATCACATTAATTAAGTTGCAAACATCTATCAGGTGCTTGCTATATGCCAAGCAATCTCTCTTCCTCCTCATGGTGCTGTCCCCCATACAATAGACCATAAACCAAACTCTTCATTTTGGAGAGGCAGTTTGGGGAAAAGACCTCTGTCTTTTCAGTGAGGGAAAAAAAAAATTAAAGTACAGAATTCCTAACAAAAGAGGGGGCCCTTATTAGAGAATTATTTCCATGGAAACCAGACCCTGATCAAGCCAACTGAATATCCTTTCAGAATCCCTTGCCTTCTGTTGCCTGAGATTCATCATGAATACAAGTGTTCTTGTATCTGACAGTCAGTGGGCTCAAATGGATTCTCAATGAATTTTCTTTCTTTTCCAGATATCTTAATACAAAAGACTAATGTTGTTAACCAAAGAACATTTTATTTTTTTTATTCTACTATTACATTGTCTATCACCTACCAATTATCCTGTCTTTGTTGATGTATATGGATACAAACATAAAAGAAAAATCTGTTTCTCAAAACAATCATTGTAAACCAAAAATGATCACCTGTCCCAGTGTCTTTTGCTGAGAAATTCACGAGTCTTTTGTTTCAAATAAGGTTTTAGAAAGATAAGAAACACATAAGCACTTAGCTGAACATCAACCAGAGAATTTCTTTACCAAAGTTTCGATAAAAGGTCTCTATGCAAAGCAAGCATTTCCATTTTTGTGTGAGTCCTATAACTGAGACCATTCAACATCTCCCATTTCTTTAAAAAATCCCTGGTGAAAGAATCCACCTTAATTTCCTGGTATAAAAATCCCATTATTGAAGGATAGGCCTGGTATTTAAGTAAGCATTTATTTTCCTCCTCATTATTTAGAAGCAAAATGGGAAGCATGTACGATTTGCAATTGCATAATTTAGTCCTCTGCTGGACTGGATGAAGTTTATCAAAAGATATTATTAGGGATGATGATACAGCAGGAGACTTTGTCATGAAACAAGGGCAAAGAGTTATAAAATCATTCCCCCAAGTTCAAACAGTAAATCAGCAGGGTCATGATTACTACTTGCATGATTTACAATCAGCAATTACAACTTGCATGATCAGAAATTAGCCTTGGCCCCTGTTAACTCTCCAAATAACAATTTGAGGTTACAAAACGTTTTAATACATAGCTTGGTCACTTCTCATTTCTCTCAAGGCCTCAGGTTCCTCACATATAAGAGGAGAAGTTTGAACTCAATGTTAATTAGTAAGTAGTACTAAATCCTCATGCTTTCTGAAAAATCTAGTTAAAACATGTAGTTTTTTTAACTTCTAAAAGGGAGTATAAAACATTTGATTGTTTATTTCCCATTTACTGCTCCAGAAATCAAGTGTAAGAGAAAACTGTACAAACTTTAGAAACCCATTTGAATTTAAGTGTTGACCATTACTTAGTTTTGAAAAGCAGTACCTTAGGAAATTGGAGGCTCTTACTCTAGGTCTGAAGACTTGTACTGACTTTTGAAGTTTGCTTAGTCTTTTTTGTATCTTATGTTTTCTTAATTTAAAAGGAAAGAGAGGAAAGGAGGAAGGAGAGAGAAAAGAGAAAGAGGGAGGGAGAGAGAGAAAGAGAAAGACAGAGAGAGGGGGGGGAAGGAGAGAGAGGGGGGAAGGAGAGAGAGAGAGGGAGAGAGAGAGAGAGGAACAAAAGAAGGAAGGAAGGAAAGAAAGAAGGAAGGGAGGGAGGGAGGAAGCTGTTGATGCATGTCTGTGAGATGGAGAGGAGGATATTTAACAATATGGTTAGAAAAATATTTTGCAAATAGCAAAGTGTTAGGTAAGTGGTGATTATAACAACTCTCTACTGGAGAAGGACCAGGGAAATATGAATTCTTGGCTCAAAGAATACCCTTCAACAACATTACAAACAAGCTGTATCAGGGCTTTCAAGACAGCAAATGGCTCTTACCTAGCATTAGGCCTCAAGTAGAAAGTAATCAGAAACTTTCTGGATTCCTCTTGAAATTCATGTGAGCTCAAAAATTACTGGTAATGCAAAAGAGATTTAGACTTGTGAAATGATTCAAGATATCGGGGTCTAATCCAGATACTACCCTTTATTTCTATAGCATCCAAAGATAGAAAGTACCATTTAGTTTATAGTTTCATAAATGGGGGAAAGGAGTGAGTCTGCAGTATAACATGGTTTTTCTCCCCCACTGCCACCCCAATCTTAAGGCCAGAAATATTTTGTTTCATCTTCTTTAAGGGTGGTGAGGTTGGGTGTCTTTTCTCTGCCCTTTGTTCCAATATCAGCCAGCTGTGTTCCCATTTTTATGGACTCAGTGATTCACAACTCATTTCCATTTAACCATTTATTATCAGATTAGCTTTTACAAAATTATATTTCCTTCAAACTTATGTAAAGAACAAACATTAAACATTATCCCAAACATTTTTGGGGGTACAACACCCTCACTTCAGTCTCTTTTGAATATAAATTAGGAACACAATTTTGCTCCTTTCCTACATAGCACTGAGCTGACCAAGTTCATGGTCAAAGTTGGCATTGTTGCTGCCTTTTATTGGGCTTGATGTAATACCTTGCCTGGATTCCTGGATTGCCAAGTCCAGATCTAGGTGGCTTATGTTCTCATCTCAGACTGAATATTCTACTCCTCTACCTAGAACAGAAAAGAAAAAAAAGTGGAATGGACAAAGAACTAGGCCATATTTTTAGAAGGTGGTGAATCACCTAGGGATGGAGTGGAGGAGGCTCCAAGATCTTCCCCCTTTCCCACATATTGTGTCAATGAATCACTTTCACCCTTAAAACCAAATGTAGCAAATCCCAGGCAGCTGCTGAGTCAGTCCTTTTTAAAGATAGCAAAAGTTCTGGCTACATAAACAACAGGATAAAGATATTCTTAAGTAAAAGAATAGGCTAATGAAGAATGACAATGCCTGTGCCTATTCTGCAGTCACTTGGAAACAGATTTCCAGCATCTTCCATGTTGATGATACCATCTTATATTGTCTGGTCATATGAAGAATTTTTGTTACAAAAATATAGTTAAAACCTTACTCCTAGTTCCAAAAATTCCCAATAATAGATTATAATGAAATGGCTTCTTTTTTTCTGTGAATGCCAAAATACTTTCTCTTTTATATATTGGCTTTATTTTCTTTATGTTATCTTAGATACACACCTGTATTCCATTACTGTATATAACCATTATCTGAGTGTTAATAAGAATGCCTAACATTTCTTTAGGACTTTATACAATTTAATATCTAGAAGGAACTTCATATTTCACCCAATACTTCCCAATGAAATATTATGCTTTTAACCTTTCAGGATCATTTTAGATCCTGACATTGTTATCCATGAGGGTAGAAGTCGCTCAAAAATGAGTGTTTGCAAATATAATAAGCCTGTCATCTCTTCCTTTATTAAAGTCCCGAGTAAAATATTTAACAATAATAATAACTATAATTTACATGGGGTTGTAAAGTTTATAAAGTACTTTATGGACATTATTTCATTTTATCCTCACAACAACCAGGGAGGGAAGGTGTTATTATCATCATCTACATTTAACAAATGAGCAAACTGAGGGAGAGGGAGGTTAAATGACTTGTGATGGTCACACAGCTAGTCTAATGCTGGATTTGTACTCAGGTCTTCCTGACTCCATGTCCAACACTATCCACTATGCCACTTATCTAGGGTCAGACCCAGCTCCATGAAGTATTGCATTGGAGATCTTTTGCCACATTTACTTAGAGCTATTAACTATTCTGCTTAGAGTCTGACAATGCAACCTCTACTGCAATTCAGTTCATTTCTCTCCCTCACATTCAAAACAATATAATCAAATACTTTAACAATTTCTTTTAAAAATACAGGCATTATTTTATAGCATTGTATACATCTACCAGATTTGTAATCTTGTCAGAAAAGTTAAAAGGTTTACTCTGGCATGACTATATTTGGATGAAACTCTCCTGGTTCTTTGTAATTATTACTATTCTTTCTACATGTCAGTCAGTCAGTCAGAAAAAAATAGTTAAGCACTTACTATGTTCTGAGCGTTATGCTAAGTCTTGACAATGCAAATTAAAGCAAAAACATAGATCCTGACATCAGGCATCTCACATTCAAGTAGGGGAGGCAATATGCACTATGTGTGTGTGTGCATATACGTGTGTGTGCACACGTGTGTGTATGGATGTGTGTACAGTTTAGATGCACGTTTGTTACTTTGAATCTGAATTTTTTTTTCTGGAAAGCTGACAGGGAATGGGGCCAGCAGCAATCTATTAAAAAGTCAAGCCAGGAGGAAGGTTGTAGTTATTTTCCACAGACCCAAAAGGAACTTGTAAAGGATTGACCTGGGGGGAATTGACCAAAGTACCTTAAATAAGATTTTTTAGGGGGTCCTAATATTTTCATATTCCTGGCTTGAGTTGCCTCTAAAATCCTTAAAGAACACAGAACTCAATAACCACAGAAAGCAGTAAATATATTTTAGGTAATAGAAAATATAACCAAACATGGCCCTGACATTTTCCACATTAAGTATGCAGAGTTTTGCCCTAATACAAATTTCCAACCAGGAAATAATCAGTAAAACACACACACACACACACACACACACACCCCAAGTCCTAGGAGCAGCTTCATTAAAAGATCATAGGTCTTGGAATACTATTTTTAAAGAGCAAAAGAATTGGGGTTTTGGACAAAAATATCATACCCAGTAAGGTTAAGCATAATCCTGAAGCAAAAAAAAAAATGGAAATTAAATGAATTGCCAGAATTTCAGAATTTTATTGGAAAAAAAGCTGAACTTAATAGCAAATTTGACACACAAGACCCAAGTGAAGGTAAACATCGAACACTAAATACAAGGGACTCGGTAGGAATAAACTGTTTACTTTTTATTGGAGGAAATGTAAACTGGATGTCTAAAATTGTAATTAGTGATTAGGTAGTTTGAAAGAAAGACTGGAGTAGAGCTGAGTATGAGTAATGCTGGCTAGGAAAAGGTAAAAAGTGTTTCTGCTTCCAGGAGTCAAGATGGCGGAGTAAGAAGTATTACCCATATTAAACTCTGAAAGCCCAGAAAATATCACCCAAGGAAAAACTCTGGGACAGCTGAAACAGAAGAAAGACAGGGTGAAGCAGTCCTGTAGCCCAGGTAGCTTGAGGGATTAATGGGAAAGACTCCTCTTGCCCTGGGGAAGGGAAACAGTACAGAATGTTGTATGATGACTAATATTGATAGACTTAACCCTTCCCAGCAATACAAGGATCTAAGACATCTCCAAAGGCCTTGTGATGGAAAATGCTATACCCATCCAAACAAAGAACTATGGAGTTTGAATGCAGATTGAAGCATACTATTTGCTTTTTTTTTTCCTGTTGTATTTTCTTTCCGCTTTCTGGTGGTTCCTCCTATTGGTTCTAATTCTTCCTTACAGCTAATGTGAAAATATATTTAATAGGAATGTATATGTATAGCCCACATCAGATTGTATGTTGTCTTGTGGAGGGAGGTGGGGAGGGAGGGGGAGAAAAATTTAAAACTCAAAAGCTTATGTAAGTGATTGTTGATAATGCAAAATAAATTTAAAAAAAAAAAAAAGAAAAGGTAAAAAGAGCAAATATCTTAAACAAATGAGATTTGAAAGAACTGATACAGAGGGATTAGATGGGGGAGGAGGGCTGTTAGTTCTGGAACCCAACTCTCATTGGAAATAGGTTAAAGAGGGAACAATACATCTATAATTTATACAGAAAGAGGGCAAAGGCCATAGGGAAGGGGAGATGATAAGGGAGGGATTTTTAGAGGAAAGAAAAAGAAGAGTGAGGGAATAGGATAAAGGGGATATAGAAAGGTGTTTGGATTAACAGGAATGTGAAGATAAGGGAGGGATCTTTGTGGGGGGAGGTTAAGTAATAGGAAGGCAAAGTAGTGGGTAGAAGCAAAGTAGAGGAGTCTGAAAGGATATGAAATAAGAGATACTAACAAACATTAAGTAAAGATCAGGAGTAGAATTTATTAGGAAAAAAGCGGGTGTAGTAATCATGATCTCAGATGAAGTTAAACCTAAAACAGAATTAATCAAAAGAGTAAAATAGTGAAACTACACTATGTATAATCTGTATATAAAATAACTAGACAATATAAGAATAAAAGGTTGGCATATCACTGTGATATAAGAAATAATGAGTTGTGGACTGAGAAATACATAGAAAGACTTGGACTTATGACGGGAGATATTATCCACCCTCACTGAAACAGAGGAAAAACAAGTATAGTATGGTCCTACATAGATGTATATGTGTGTGTGTGTGTGTGTGTCTATATATGAGTATGATTATTGATATCTGAGTACATGCATGTGTAAATATATTGTATACATGCATATATGCATGAATATAAATATAGGCTTACATTAATACATACATACATATGTATACACACACACACACATACATATATATCCATGCTTAATTGTAGCCTTCTTGGAGGTTGTTAACAAAAGAGAATATAGGGAAAAGTGCACAGCAAAGAACAATAGAAAACTTGCAAGGAAGTAAAGAGATGATAGACAGCTCTGAATACAAAGTATAGTATATATTATATGGCTTTTTTATTAATTTATTTTAATTTATCAACAATCACTTCCATAAGCTTCCATAAGTTTTAAATTTTTCTCTCCCTCCCTCTGCACCTCCCTCCCTGACTGTGTACAATCTGATATAGGATATCAATCTGATATAGGATATACAGATACATTCTTATTAAACATATTTTCAAATTAATTCTTAGGAAGAATTTGAACCAATAGGAGGGACCACAAGAAAGAGAAAACAAAACAAAACAGGAGGAAAAAATAGCAAATAGTATACTTTAATTTTCATTCAAACTCCATAGTTTTTTATTAGGATGTGGACAGCATTTTCCATCACGAGACCTTTGGAGATGTCATGAATCCTTGCATGGCTGAGAAGTGCTAAGTCTACCAACATCAGCCAACAGACAATGTGGCTGTTACTGCGTACAACATTCTCCTGGTTCTGCTCACTTCACTCAGCATCAGTCCATACAAGTCTTTCTATTTTTTTCTGAAGTCAGCCTGTTCATCATTTCTTATAGCACAATAGTATTCCACTACATTCATATACCACAGCTTGTTCAGCCATTCCCCAATGGATGGGCATCCCCTCATTTTCCAATTCTTGGCCACCACAAAAAGAGCTGCTACAAACATTTTTGTACATGTGGGTCCTTTTCCCATTTCTATGATCTCTTTGGGATGCAGACCTAGAAGTGCTATTGCTGGGTCAAAAGGGATGAACATTTGAACATAGCTCTAAATTCCCCTTCAAAATGGTTGGATCATTTCACAACTCTACCAACAATACATTCGTGTTCCAATGTTCCCACATCTTCTGCAACATGTATCATTTTCCTGTTTTGTCTTATTGGCCAATCTGGTAGGTGTGAGGTGGTACCTCAGAGTTGTGCTGATTTGCATTTCTCTAGTCAATAGTGACTTAGAGCATTATTTCATATGACTAAATAGCTTTAATTTCTTCCTCTGACAACTTACTGTTCAGATACTTTGATCATTTATCAGTTAGGGAATGTCTTATATTCTTATAAATTTGACTTAGTTATCTATCTATTTTAGAAGTTAGGCCTTTGGGGCAGGTAGGTGGAACAGTTGATAGAGTACTGGCCCTGAAGTCAGGATGGCCTGAGTTCAAATCTGCCCTCAGAGCAAACATTTAACACTTACTAGCTGTGTGATCCTGGGCAAGTCACTTAGCCTCAATTGCCTAAAAAAAAAGAAAGAAAGAAAGAAATGAGGCCCTTATCGGAGACACTGGTTGTAAAAATTATTTCCCAGTTTTCTGCTTCCCTACTAATCTTGCATTGGTTTTGTTTGTGCATAAACTTTTGAATTTAATGTTATCAAAATTATCCATTTTGCATTTCATAATGTTATATATCTCATGTTTGGTCATGAATACTTCTGTTCTCCATAAAGCTGACAGGTAAACTATTCTTTGCTATTCCGCTTTGCTTATAGTATCAGCCTTTGTATCTAAATCCTGAACCCATTTTGACTTTATTTTGGCATATAGTGTGATATTTTGGTCTAGGCCTAGCTTTTGCCATAGTCCTTTCCAGTTTTCCCAGCAGTTCTTATCCCAGAAGCTGGGGTCTTTGGGTTTATCAAATAGTAGATTACTATAGCCATTGGCTACTGTGTCTTGCATACCTAACCTATTTTACTGATCTACTACTCTATTTTTTAGCCAGTACCGAGCAGTTTTGATAATTGCTGCTTTATAATACAATTTAATATCTGGGACAGTTAGGCCACCTTCCCCTGTATTTCTTTTCATTAGTCCCTGTACCCAAGTTTCTTGTGCTGGAAGCCCAGGACCTTGTCACTGGCTTTGTGTGCTGGGGTGTCAAATGCTGGCAGTTGTGCTGGAATCAGCAACACTGGAGCTCTAGGGGTAGGGGTGGGGATTCAGGCCCCTGGAGGATGCCTGTTCATCAAGGCATTTTGCTCATTTTTTTTTTTGGCTCCTTGCAGATAGATGTTTTGCTGCCGCAGGATGTTTCTTCATCTGGAGTTTTCCCTCTTGGAGTTATGCTTCCAAGAGTTTTATTGAGGCAACAGGAGACTTGGCTGGCAGAGAACACAGTAGCACATGGTGGCTTTCAGAGTTAGTTTCCACTGGTTCCCCTGCCAATCCTGAGGCAGGGGATCTTGGTGTTGGTGCTTGCCTGCTCCACCACCTGGGGTTCAGGATCTCCCCCTGGTGTGATGAGGTGGAGCTTTCTGCTAGCTTGTGGGGATGCCTCCCATTCTGTATTGCTCCCTTTCTCCAGGGTAATATGGGCCTTTCCTATTAATCCCTCAAGCTTCCTGGGCTACAGGACTGCTGTACCCATCTTTCTACTAGTTCAGTTGTTCCATGGTTTTTCCTAGGGCAATATTTTCTAGGCTTTCAGAGATTAATAAGGGAGGGTGAGAGCAACTTCCTTCTTCCTCTGCTATCTTGGTTCCTGGACGTGGAACCCAGAATATATACTTCTTCAGAGTAAGAAATGTTTTATTTTTATTTGTCTTTTTGTTCTCCTAGTACTTAGCACAGAGCTTGGTAATTAATAAAGTTGATACAAATGCATATTTGCTTTGTTGGTATATATAAATCACTCTTCTAAACACAGAATATGGAGGCAGGTAACCAGTCATGGAAATTCTATCAAAGTACATTTATATGTGTATAGATATTTACATATACACATGCTTGTTTGATATGTGTGTTGTGTGTGTATACATATAAATGCATATATATATATGTGTGTCCATACATGTTTGTGTATACACACAAGATAGTTCAGGTTGGGAATGTAAGGTTTCTTGTTCAAGGCAGTGCTTAAGGTATTTTCATGCAAGAAAGGGATGTCTGAAAATTTGGAAGGAAAGGATTCCAAATATGGGATCCATATAATTTCTTTTACAGCACAAACTCTTCCCCTGTTAGCAAAATAAGGCCCAGAATAGAATTCCCATTTGTTAGGTCCTCTACATTTTGAAACATGAAATTTTCACTAAGTAGAGCAGTCATTAGCTTCTCTGCATTAGAAATGAGAAAACTGCAATGGATGTGCGCGCTTCATTGTTTGTGTCAATTCACATCCATCATCCTTTGTCTCAAATGCCTCATGTGTGATTTCTCACAGCCCAACATCATAAGAAATTTAACATCCAAGTACCAAACTTTCTTCAACCCTTTTCAAACTAACTCATACCTCGTACTTTTTTTTGTTTCCTAAAAAATCTTAGTTTGAATATTTTGGTACCGATGTGACATTCATTTCTTTTTTTTTAACCTTTTTATATCCAACACTTCAGAAAAACAACTATGCAAAAGAGTGTGAACAATAAAAAGACTTTTCTCATATAAATTTCAAGTAGGAATTAATTAATTACATCTCTGTCAACAGAGGATCAGTGTGTCATTGTTGTTACATGTGATCGAACAGAGACAATGAACTTGAGTAGCTAGGTTTTGCATTTGGTATAACACTAGACTTAAAGTCAGGAATACATGAGTTCATATACTTAAAAGTTATGTGAACCTAGGCAAGTCATTTAATCTCAATTTCTTGATATGTAAAATGGGAAAACAATGATACTACTGTATAGAGTTATTGTGAGGATAAAATAAAATACATTTGTAAAGTGCTTTGCAAACTTTAAAGTGTTATACAAAGACTATTTTATTATTGTTGTTGTTATTAAATATATCAATCTATTATTATATTGGGCAATTTGACTGTTAGGAAGTGAAGTATAAGTAAGAAGACCAGAAGGACATAAAGCAGTCAAAAGATTTGAATTAAAAAAAAAACTGCTTGTGTGACATTGACCAAATCGTTTAATCTCCCTATGTTTTAATTTTTTTATGTAGAAAATTAAAAAAAAAGATTGATTGATAACATCTAGTATGCTACATTTATAATTCTTTGGCTTCATAATTTAACTCATATTATGAGGGATTTGTAGTGTTTCCCTTTTTGGTTAGTTTATATGTCTTCCTTTGAAAATTATTCATCCCCACCATTTTGATATATATGTAGGAGGGGCTTTTATCTTATACATTCTGTAAACTCACAATAAATAAAAGATGTCAGCCTTTTATAAGATAAAATCAAAAATAAAAAATTGAATTATAGTCTCATAGATTAAAAGTCTTCAATGATGCAGAACACAAATGCATCCATATGTAACACTCTTATGAAACTCTTGTCATACCTTCCCAGAAGTTCATCAGAGGGATGTTTGAAGAAAATTCATTTTTTTCTAACTCAATATTTTCTATTCTTATTGTCATTGCATTGCTTTGTTTGTACAAAATCAGTTTTAAATTGTACATTCTCCAAATTGACCATTTGGTCTTTTGTGATTTCCTGTATCTTTCATTTCATTATTATGAATTCTTTCATAACTATAGATCTGAAAGATAGCTTACTTGGTTGTTATTTGACATTTAAAGTTATATAACCTTTAATTTTAAGTGGCATATCCAGTTACAGATTACTCTGGCAAATATTATAGGATGTTCTCTTGAAACTATATATATGTATGCATACATGTATGTACATATGTATGTATGTATGTATGTATGTATGTATGTATATGTATGTATAGACAGACCACCTTTAGTCCCCCAGAAATACTTTCCCCAGTATTCTGTATTGTTGGTTTCGTTGAACCCTGAGCCACTATTTTCATTTGCCTCTGATTCTTTTCCTATTTTCTTTCGACTGTATTGATGTTCTAAAAAATACATAATAAAAATAGGTTATTTTATTGATTTTCAGAAGTTTCTGTTTTAGAACAATTTTACAAATTTACTCCCTTCACCAGAAAACAAAAAGAAAAACAAAAACAATACAAAACAAAACTTTGGGGGCAGTTATGGTGATGAAATACAAAGATTCATTCTTCCTCCATTGGCAAATTTTTTGAAAGTCAACTTCAGCCATAACTTTGATAGCTACAAAACCTAACTCCTTAGATTCCAGTCTATAATGAAATCATTCCTTTCTAATAATAATCCTCTTATATAGAACATGGCACAGCAATTTCGAAGATTATAGTCTTGAGACAAAATGATTATAACCTGGGTGAATGTCTTTCACCCTTGAATGTTTTGTAGGCAGAACATCCAGAAATATCTAGAAACAACCAGGTTAAAAAAAAGAAGATGAAAGCTTAGAACTATAAGATGTTTTATTTCAGTGTTTTCTTAATAAATCAGTGCAATAAAGGAAAATGAGACTTAGGCTATAGTTAGCTTCATATCTAGGTATTTGTGTGTACGTGTATGAATGTATGTGTGTGACTTAGCAAATCGCTTTTCATTGATTATTTGACAAGAAAAATAATATAGTAATTGTTACAATGAATGAGCAAATTCCATCACATGATTTTTATTCCTTTCAGTTAAATTGGATAAATAAAATATTTTTGAAATTATATTAATATAATTGTTGAAAAGTGCAAAAAAAAGTCACTATACTATTTTTTTCAAAAATGACAGAAAACATCAGAAATGTCATATTTCAATTCACTGAAATAACTGGTTATTTTGGAATTATGAAGAAGCACTTAAACTATATGTGTGTATACATATACATACATACATACATATAAACATGCATATGTGTATATATATACATGCAGATATGTACATATACATACACATATACATACATACGCACAAACACATACATTTATGTGTATATATGTATGTATGCATATATATATATACATATAAAATTTAGAACTTAATATGTATGATTCCATAATGCTATAGAAATTAATCACTGCCCATAAGGGAAGACCTCTGGAGAGTTGCGACCTAAGCTTACAGTCCTCAATAATCATGTTTCTGACTATGGAGCAATCACTTTAGCTTTGTTATAGTCTGTTTCTTCTTATAGGAAATGGAGATAAAATGACCATAATGTATATATTTTAAGGCCGTTTGAGAATTAAATAAAACAATGTAAGCACACTGGAAAGAAAATTGAATTTGGAGTCTGAGGCCCAGGGTTCAAATCCGGCATTGATGTTTTGTACTTTCACATACTTGGGCAAGACACTTAAAGTCTAAAACCTAAATCTTCTCATATCTACGATAAATGTATTGGGGAAATGATGTCAAATGTCACTTACAGAAATAATTCCAAAATCCTGTGATTCTTAACTATTTTCTAACTATAACCTATTATTATAAAAATTCAGGAGGAATTCATCTCAAGAAAATACTATAATCTTTCTTAGCTTTACCAATGAAATGTAACACATCTCTAAGATTATTCAAGTCTATGGCTATAACAAGATTATGTATATGTATATGTACATGTGTGTATTTATGTATGTAGTTATAAGGACAAACTTTCCAGTATATTAACTCAACAAATAGATCCCATTCCCCATCAATTCTGGAGAAATGAGAATGAACTCTAAGTTGTTTTCTTAGGTAACTGTAACTATGGTCATGGTCATAGTCATACTCATAAATTTAGAGTTAGAAGTGACTGTTAGAGGCCACTGAATTTACTCTCATTTTATAATGAGAAAAATGAGGCAGATAAATATTAAGAATCTCACTCATGACCACATATCTAACAAGCTCAGTTTTACTTTTCTTTTTCACATATTTACAATTTAATTAATATCATAACTTTATTTGACTAATCCAACTTATTTCATAATTTTTATAAATATTACCTATATGAGAGGAGAAAAATAACACTGAATTGAAAATTTAAAACCTCAAATTTATTTCCTGCTTGAAGAGTTATTTTCAAATTGCCTTTACACTATACTTTCTTTACACATCATTATTTCACTGTCATTCATGTATTGATTGATTTTTATAATATATTCTTACCATAACCTGGAATATAAGATTCTGGAAAATTTGAAAACAGGTCCAATCCAAATCTTCCAAAGAAGATTCAGCCTAAAAAATGTTACTGAGAAATTGATCATCTCTTACCTTGTTGGAAACAGTGACAAGGACCCTAGGAGATGAATTCTGAAGGGATCTTGAAACAATGTTAATTAAATGAAACCAGGACAGATTACCAGCTTCAGCAGAGTCTGGATGATGCTGTATGCAGGAGTTTGCAAGAGAAACTTAATGGAAAGTTAAAATAAGATTTGTGTAGTGGGAAGGCCTTGAATTCACTCCTCTTATAAGATGCTATTTAGGAAGAGTGGCACAGAGGAGAGAATATTAAAATTCAAGTCAGAAGACCAAGTTCAAATCCCTTCTCTCTCACTTACTAATTGTTTGACCTTAGGCAAATCCTCTCTACATTTATTTCTATTGAATAATGAGGGTATCAAATGAAAAGACGCCATAATCTTTTTTTAGCTTAAATTGATTATACTCTTGTACTGTCCCAATGAACCCTGGCTTGGTTTTGACCTTGGTATGCAATAAGGCCTGAAGAATGCTACCAAGGTAGAAAGGATTTAAATGCCTGGATGTCTATCATTTGAAGTACAGGTTAACTAAATTCAGCATATATTATTGATCATTTTTGCAAGAGGTTGATAAATTGTTTAGCCATAGTTACTCTCAAAGACTTTCTACCAAAGTCACAAAATCACAATACCATAGAATCTCAGAAGCTGCAAATTGTAAGGAACCTCAAAAGCAATCTTGTCTAGACCATATTCAAAAGGAATTCTTGCTGTAATATCCCTGACAAGAGACATCTAGGCTTTGCTTGAAGATTTCAGGAGAAGTGGGAAGAGATCACCACCTCTATATGCACTCTATTTTAATTTTGGAAAACTCTAATTGTTAGAAAGTTTTTTTTTCCCTTGACATCAATACTAAATTTGTGTCTTTGTAACTTCTTCCAATTGCTCCATTTCTTCCTCTGAGGCCAAAAAGAACAACACTCTTTCTTCTTCCATGTGACAGCTCTTCACATAATTCAATGGCACTACCATATTCATCTTGAGTCTTCAGATGGGCTAAATAATCTGAATCCCTTTAGCTATTCTCAAGTGATGTGATTTAAATTTCCCCACACTCTTTGTAGCTCTTCTTTGGACATCTCAGGATTATCAATGTCCTTGTTTAATGGTGATGGTCATAACTAAATACATTTCTTTAGTTGCAGTCTGACTAGATTATCATATTGACTAGGGGTCTAGTGGAGGGAGTACCCATATTAATAAAGTTAAAGCTCCTGCAATATAAGACTAATGGATATAGTCAGGAAGGATGAACTACTCAGATGAAACAACTTCATAAGCCAACAAAAAAATATCAATTCAGCTTTAATTTAATCGCCAAAGTGCTTTTTTGCCTTAAACGATCAGTTCAATTGAATTGATCATCTTAAGTGAAAAATCACAGAAACCCATTATCCCACTTCCATTTTACTGGTAAATGTTTCTCCTTCATCTCCACGAATTCTCAAGGTTGATTGCTAATACCTGTAAACCTTTCAGTGCTGGTGGCTCAAAGGATCTTCCATTGTGTGTCATATGGGCTTACTGATTTATTTTCACTGAAATGACTAAAAATCAGTCAAGCAGGCAGTCAAAACTTCCATATGCAGAATCATGGAAAAGCCAGGCTGCCTTCTGCTTCTGTGAGCATTGCAGATATAGAGTAGGGGAGGGAGATGCTGATGAAGTTGGTCAATGAAGGTCATTTGAGAGTAAAAATACTAAACACAGCAGGCATTTTGAACTTTCGCCATTTCATGAAATTTCCCAAATTTTTACTGTAAAATGCAGCTTTTTAGGGCAGCTAGGTGCCACAGTGAATTGAGCACTCAACCCTGGAGTCAGGAGGACCTGAGATCAAATCAAGCCTCAGACACTTGACACTTACTAGCTGTGTGACCCTGGGCAAGTCACTTAACCCCAATTGTCTCACCAAAATAAATAAACTAACAAAATGCAGCTTTTTACAAATCTCTCTTTGTATGCTTGATTTTTCTTTGTTCTCAAAGAGGACTAAACTGGGGGCAGCTAGGCGGTGGCAGGGGATAAAGTACTTCCTTGAAGTCAGGAGGGCCTGAGTTTATAGCCAGCCTCAGATACTTACTAGCTGTGTGACCTTGGGCAAGTCACTTAACCCTGATTGTCTCAAGAAAAAAAAATTAAAAAGAGGACTAAAATGATATCACTATGCTAGAGTCAGGTTATAGTGTGCTCTGTTGTGGTTGATCATTCCAATATGAGCTCAGCATGTTCTACCACAGGTCAGGAACAAATAGTCCATGGAACATTTGGGTAGATTCTCTAAATTTGTGTATATCATGTCTCTTTCCAGCTACTTCAATTCTTCTCTTCGTGTGAGAGGTGAAATGGACGTTAGAGAATGTCCAGTAAAATTATGTCCTCTTACATTGGAGAAAACTGAGGATTCTAAAGGACAGATTACTTGTGCAAGTTCACACGGATACTAAGTAGCAAAATAAAATGTGAAGTTATGTCCTCTAGTTTTAAATCAAGGCTTTTTTTTTCCACTGCAGAATCACCGATTCACGTTAACTGTGCTCACATGAAAATACAATGTCTCGCTTACCAACTACAGGGCAGCCCTTCCTAGAAGGATTCCTTTAGACAAAGGTTTCCCAGTGGTACCTTGTTTTATCCATTCTTCCCTAAAAGAAAAAAAAAATTAAAAAAAAAACTAGTGCTGGACTACTGAGGAAGATTTGGAAGTATTATTTCCAGTTCTTTATAAATAGCATATTTAATAAGTGTTCTTTGAGGCTAATGCACCCTGGAGTCCATCTGGCTGAGACTGTATCCATGTGATACCGTTGGAAGGTTAGAAAATTGTCTCGGTGCTTGATAAATGCTTATCATTCCAAGCATATCCCTAAAGTACTGACATATCATGATCAAGATTAGGGGATAACATTGGGGTCCATTTAAATCACAAAATTCCTAACATTTAAAAGAATAAATGAAAAGAAATTGTCTGAATCATCTTTAGCAGAGGGGGTGAGGACTAAACATTTTTTCTTTAGAAAAGTCAACTAGAGCTATTTAATTTTTCAATATAAATGAACAGTGCTTTAAAAGATTATTACTTTTTCCCTAACCCTTGTATTCAATTTCTCTACCACCAAAATGCTCTGGGATACGGATCGGACTAGATGGTAACTGAAGTCCTTTCTAAAGTACTCTCTGCTAAGCCTCATTGATGTTACTTGCCACGCAAAAGAATTGTGAGCAGAGTTTACATAGAATAAATAGTTGCGCCTTTCCAGTTATGGTGTTCAAACCATGCACAGAGCATCATTTTCGTAAGTACGTGAATATGAGCACACACAAGTATTCAGGGATCTCAGACCCTGTGGGACCATCAAATTGCAGGCCACAATTCTCATCTGATAGCAAATTTAAATGTTTTGTAATATATAAGTTCCTTTACAGTAACTTATTTGATTTTGAGTGACTAATTTAACTTTAATGGCTCACATATTCTCATCCATAAAATGAAGGTTTTAGGGGAGATGGTTTCTTGGGTCATTTCAAGATCTAAATCTTCATATAGTAGAGACATTCATTATCAATCCATGCCCATTCCCCAGCCCAGATGATATAATTAGAAAATAAAGAAAACACAGAGACAAAGATGTAATATTAATATAAAACTTACATGCACAAAGTTGTGCATCCAAATTCTTAACGGAAAAGTTAGGTGAGTTACAGGCTCATGACAAAAAAAGAGGCAGAAAACATAATGAAATGTAAAATAAATAAGTTTGATTATATTAAAAATCTTTTGCAGAAACAAAACCAATGCAACCAATATTAGAAGGAAAGTGAAAGCTGGGAAACAATCTTTACAGCAAGTATCTCTGATAAAGGCTTCATTTCTCAAATAGAGAACTAAGTCAAATTTATAAGAATACAAGCCAATCCCCAATTGATAAATGGTCAAAGGATATGAATAGTCAATTTGCAGATGAAGAAATCAAAGCTAATTATAGGCATATGAAGAAGTGCTCTCAATCACTTTTGATTAGAAAAATGCAAATTAAAAGCACTCTGAGGTACCACCTCACACTTATCAGATTGGCTAATGTGAGAAAAAAAAAAGAAAATGATAAATGTTGGGGAGGGTGTGGGGAAAATGTGACACTAATGCATTGTTGGCAGACTTGTGAATTGATCCCGTCATTCTGGAGAGCAATTTGGAACTGTTCCCAAAAGACAACCAAACTGTGCATAGCCTTTGATCCAGCAATACCACTATTAGGTCTGTATCCCAAACTAATCATAAAAAAAGGAAAAGGATCTATATGTGCAAAAATATTTATAGTAGCCCTTTTCATGGTGTCAAAATATTGGAAACTGAGGGAATGTCTATCAATTGGGGAATAGTGAAACAAGCTGTGGTATATGAAGCTAATGAAATGATAACATTAAGAAATCTAGAGGAAGATATTGCTTTGAACACACATGTCCCTTTAGTTCTTACTTCAGTACTAGGGCACTCTTTGTGGCTCCTCTTCACACTGAGAGTGCATATACTTGTAGGAGAACATACCTTACATTAATGAAGGTTAAGACTTATTTTGCTACATTTTCTTACTCAGCCACCTCAGAAAATGTCTTTCATTCATTCCTGCTGATTGACTATTAAATGTAACTACATGAATGGGGGGGAGTTCATTAGTTATTACTTAATACTACATACCCACAGATTACCTTGAAAGTTGTGGAGAAATTATCCCTCTAGGGTATTCACCTTACATGTGCAAACTCAGTGGGTACCTCGTTGAAATTCTAGTAAGATAACTGATAAATGGTCAAAGGATATGAACAGGCAGTAGTATAAGATATTAAAGCTATCAAAAATCATATGAAATGCTCTAAATCACTAAAAATTAGAGAAAGACAAACTAAAATAACTCTGAAGTACCACTTCACATTTATGAGTGGCTATCATGAGAGAAAAGAAAAATTCAAAATTCAAAAGAGGATGTGGTTCCAGACAAGAGAAATGAGGAATGGAGGGAGTAGAACAGGTCACAAGACAGAACAACATGTGTGTGTGTGTGTGTGTGTGTGTGTGTGTGTGTGTGTGTGTGTGAGCGTGCACACACATGTGTGTGTCTGTGTGTCTGCCTTTCAGAGCTGTGCTGCACTCAACGAAGCCTGATAAAAATAATGATATCTAGCTGGGGCTGGTTCTGACCATCAAGTCAGTTGGGGCAGAGATACAGCCTGTTGAACCATGAAATGCCCATTATGGGAATAGGCTTAAAACCTTAGCAATCTAGCCTCAAGGAAACTAGAATGTGAGATGATGGAAAGAGGAAGTGAGTGGTAAGCAAAATAAGGGGGAGGGAATTGGCAATACAAAATATTTCAGGGAGAAGAAACTCAAAGACATTGAACATAAACAGATAGATAAACATATAAAACAAAAAGGAAAAAAAAATGTTGCCTCCACATCTACTAAATGAGTTCAGGCACCCATTAATAAAAATTACAAAAACAAAGGAAAAATGATGCAATCCTAGATAAGACAAAAGACTGTATGGAGTTTGAGGAAAATATAAAACTATAACATACAATTCCTGAGTGGTTTAAAAGAGAAATAAGACTTTTTTAATATTGAAGATTTATTAATTTATTTATTTTTAGTTTTCAACATTCACTTCCACAAGATTTCGAGTTCCAAATTTTCTCTCCATCTCACCCCTCCCACCACCCCAAGACAGCACGTATTCTGAACACCTAATCTGCCCTCCCTTATATCACCTACCTTTCGCTTAACCCCTTCTATTTTCCTGTAGGGCAGGATAGATTCCTATAACTCCATTGTCTGTGTATCTTATTTCCCAGTTGCATGTGAAAATAATTTTTAACATTTGTTTTTAAAATTTTGGATTACAAATTCTCTCCTTTCTTCCCTCCCCTCCCACCCTCATTGAGAAGGCAAGCAACTCGGTACAGGTTATACATGTGTAGTCAAGCAAAACACTTCCATAGTAATCATGTTGTGAAAAACTAACTATATTTCCCTTCATCTTATCCTGTCGCCTATTTATTCTATTTCTTTTTTAACCCTTGCCCCTCCAACAAAGTGTTTGCTTCTGATTACCCCCTCCCTAAATCTGCCCTCCTTCTATCATCTCCCTGCTCTCTTATCCCCTTTCCCTTTATTTTCTTGTAAGGTAAGAGATTTCTATACCCAATTGAGTGTGTATGTTATTCCCTCCTTAAGCCAAATCCAATGAGAATAAGATTCACTTGTTCTCTCTCGCCTTTCCCCACTTCCCTTCCACTGTAAAAGCTTTTTCTTGTCCATTTTATGTGAGATAATGTACCTCATTCTACCTCTCCTTTTCTCCTTCTCTCAGTATAATTCTCTCTCCTTAATTTTATTTTTCGATCACCCCTTCATCTTCAACTCACCCTATGCCATCTATCTATCTATCTATCTATCTATCTATCTATCTATCTATCTGTCTGTCTGTCTGTCTGTCAGTCCATCTATATACATATGTGTGTGTGTGTGTGTGTGTGTGTGTATGACTTTTTTTCCCCCTACAACTACCCTAATACTGACAAAGGTCTCATGAGTTACAGATATTGTCTTTTCATGTAGGAATGTGAACAATTCAACTTTAATAAGTCCCTTATGATTTCTCTTTCCCCTTTACCTTGTCATGTTTCTCTTGAGTCTTGGATTTGAAAGTTGAATTTTCTATTTGACTCTGGTCTTTTCATCAAGAATGCTTGAAAGTCCTTTATTTCACTGCATATCCATTTTTTCCCCTGAAGGATTATACTCAGTTTTGCTGAGTAGGTGATTCTTGGTTGTAATCCTAGTTCCTTTGACCTCCATAAAATCATATTCCAAGCATCCAGTCCCTTAGTGTAGAAGCAGCTAAATCTTGTGTTATCCTGATTGTGTTTCCACAATACTTGAATTGTTCCTTTCTGGCTGCATTCAGTATTTTCTCCTCGACCTATGAACTCTGGAAATTGGCTACTATATTCCTAGGAGTTTTCCTTTGGGGATTTCTTTCAGGAGGTGATTGGTGGATTCTTTCAATTTCTATTTTGCCCTCTGGTTCTAAAATATCAGGGCAGTTTTCCTTGATAATCTCTGGAAAAATGATGTCTGGGCTCTTTTTTTTTTGATCATGACTTTCAGTTAGTCCAATAATTTTTCCAGTGAGAGTTCACATTTTCTTCTATTTTTTCATTTGTTTGGTTTTGTTTTGCAATGTCTTGATTTCTCATGAATACACTAGCTTCCTTTTGCTCTATTCTAATTTTTAAGGAAGTATTTTCTTCAGTGAGATTTTGGACCTCCTTTCCCATTTGGCCAATTCTGCTTTTTAAGGCATTCTTCTCCTCATTGGCTTTTTGGATCTCTTTTGCTATTTGGGTAAGTCTATTTTTTAAGGTGTTATTTTCTTCAGTATTTTTAAGGAGTCTCCTTTAGCAAGCTGTTGACTTACTTTTCAGGATTTTCTTTCATCACTCTCATCTCTCTTCCCAGTTTTTATTCTACTTCTCTTACTTGCTTCTCAAAATAGTTTTTGAGCTCTTCCCATGGCCTGGGACTGATTCATATTTTTCTTGGAGGCTTTGGATGTAGAAGCTTTGACTTTGTTATTTTCTTCTGGT